TCCTTGTTCCCCCCCCCCCCCCCCCCCCCCCCCCTCCCTCATCTACCACCACCCTCCGTCCCATCGCCTTATTCATTTCCCGTCTGGGGTAAAAACCCTGAATATCTATTTCATAGGAGCTAATAAACATTAATTTATGTACTTTCTAAATAAATAAATAAAAATAGACTGGGAACTTGGCCAGAGGAGGGGCAGTCTCCCCCCCCCACCCCCCACTCCTCTCCTAGATCCGCCACCAGTGAAAGGGTAAATGCAGGGCCGGATGAAGAAGTTGTGAGGTGAGGAACAAGTGGATTCTTGGTCCCCCACCCCCACCCCCCTTAATCCGACCCTGGGTGAATGGTATTGGAAGTGACCGCCACTTCATTTAACCACACGAAGCGAGATGTCTCTGTGCAGTGTCGCGTTGAATTCCAAATCAGTTATTCGCAGCAAGAAAATCATCCTCTTCGATGCGTGAAGCACTCGTTTACATGGAAGCACCTTGACGTGTGATGCTATATGTGTGATCAGGAGGATTTTTGAGGAACAGCGTCGCAGTTCAATTTCCCCGAAATCAAACGCTTTCTAGGCCTATGTGCATCACATATGAGCAAGATGTGGAAAATAATCATTACGTAAAATGAAAATCATCTATTCCATAAAAGTAGCTGTTCGTCTCTCTCCCTACGGTACCATTATGCTGAAAATACTCGGATTTCAAGTCTAAGTGGGGTTGGAATGCAAGACAGTAAACGGTGTATCGACAACTGAGATTGGGAAGAGTATTGCGCATTTGGCGGGAGCCCAAGACTTCCCCCTTTCCCCTTTTTTTTCACCGGCGCGTCGGCCTCTGGATTACGTCATAGGCAGGCTCCGCTGAGATCAAACTCGATGAACGGGGAGATACGGATGAATGAAGGAGATGACGTCTTGGACGTTATGACAACTCCAGACCGTGTTTTGAACGAGGTAAAAGCTCTGTTATGATATCGGAGGATTCCTGTAGGGGGTCCGATTCTCCTCCCTTCCGTCTCTGTTCCCCCAGTCGGGCGCCAGAATAAATGCTTTTCTCTCAGACTGAGAGGGGGGGGATCCTCGCCCTCATTTCATGGGAGCGAATCAACAAAGGAATGGGATCATTGGGAACACATACAAGAACCCGTACCGGATGTATTAAGTTCACCTGCACGTCTAAACAAACTGACGGAGAAGTTTTCAAAATTAACCAGTTATCGTTGCAAATTACATTAGCAAAAAGGAACTCGTTCGTTTCTAGTTAATTTTTGGTTAATTATGCGACAAGTAATGAATTCTGCTGTTGGAACAAACATTCTTATAAGAAGACCCCATGCGCCATGCAACGTTGCGGGAACATGAGCTTGGAGTGACACGGGAGAAAAGGAAGAGCCTGTCTCTGGTGTATTTTATCCATTCACCCTGCAAATGAGCTCGTGTGCGAGAGCATCACCGATAACGAGAGCACCTCAGATAACTTTTCAGGAGGAGGAAGCAAAAGTAAACGTAACAGAAGAGAATGATACTTTTTGCGAAAAAATGAAACTCGTTACCGGAAATCATTGGCTCAGAAAAAGCTGCTGCTGCAGTTACAGCGAAAAACAAGAAACTGTAATTTCTTTGCTTATAACGTGTTACTTCCCTTGACTGGGCTTGAATCTCGAGGAAAAAGCAGCGCATTGATGTGAGAAGAGAATTTTCTTACATGTTCCTCTTGCCTTCTCGGTGCTTCATATTCATACCTGAATCGGTTCAGATGGAGAAGAAAAAATGTTTGACGAGGGTTCATTAGGAAGAGGATAATGAACAGGGAGATGTGGCCCATGTCCAAGTCTATAATGAAGGCTATAGGCCCACACCAAGGAGGAGAGAGGAATAGGATTCCATCGCTCGACCTGCTGCTTGCTTGATGGTCTCCTCTCCTCTTCTCTCTTCATCCCCTCTCTTCCCATTAAAAGCTTGGAAATCTGAGGGTAAACGATCACGATATCATTTAGGCTTAGTTCGATCTCTTGCTTCGCTCTTGCTCTTGCTCTCTCTCGTTGTCTTCCAGTCATTTCGAACTTGAAACCTCGTCGGCAGAGAAACAGATGCAGGGGAAAGGAAATCGTGAGAAAGGGAAACCAACACGGGGGGGGGGGGGGCTGTTCTATAAAAAGAGAAGCGCTGTGCTCAACACGAGAAGACTGTTGAGTCACGGGCAAGGAATCCCTCAACTAGGACACTGTCCTCCTACACTTCCTCCCTTTACCTGCCCCCTCTTTCGCTCCCTTAATTATTCAAGTCATATTTACACTTATCAAAAGCGGAAGGCTTCCAGATGTTGCGTTCCCCTGAGAACCTGCTTGTACAGGGCGAATTCCGAAATGCCAATGGATTTGACCTTTAGAGAAGGACATGAAATACATATGAGAGGGTTAACGAACTCACTTGAAGTACTGCGAAGCCGGGGTTTCTTTCGTCCTATTTTGGACGAGGAGAGTTAGATTCAAGGCTATTGAAGTTTCGCTGTCGAAACACGACCGATTATAGTAAGTCCCGTTCAGTTTCATACAGTTGTCCGCGTCTTCGTATGAATAGCAAGCTGGAATTAAATATCACCCAGGAATCGAAAATGAGAGTTCCATCTGGGGACTTATCTTCACTATAATATGGTGTAAATGAGAATGCTTTAACTTACTCTCAGTGCTCCATTCCGGCTCGCAATGGGTCCAGGGAATGACTGAGGTCCACGAGGCAAACATATAGAAGAGGGTCCAGGCGATGATCATGTTGTAATAGAGCATGACGATGGAAGAGATGATGACCATGCCCCAACCAAGTCCATGGAGAAGAGGGCAGAGTTTCTCGAAAAGCCCGATCGGACCTAGACTCACGTATTGTCCGAGGGACAACTCCATGAACATCAACGGAAGGCCTGCTACTACCAACATGATGACGAATGGCAACAGGAACGCCCCTGCACAAACACAATGTGTACATCATCAAGAAAAGGCAACAGATTAAGCCTGTTTTTTAAATTTCCGATTAAACTCTTCCGATCGTGAGAAACCTCGAGGGTCGAATCATTGATCCCAGAAATGAAAGTCGAGAGGTGGAGAGTACTGAGTTTTGTACATGAGCTATGATGAGGAGAGGCGACCCGAGACGTCTCAGAGGCTTGATCGATAAGTCTTTTCCTGCCTTATCGAGAGATGACAAGAGGAAGGGGAGGAGGCTGAGGTCGAGCCGGGTTCGTCAGATTCACAGCCTCTGACGCAGCCATACCCGCAATACCGATCTTCGCTAGCGTATGCGTAGGCGTAAGAAGCACCGGAAAAAAATGTGCCTTTTTTTTCTCATTTAAGCTGGAGTTCGCTGGTATGTAACAGGAGTAGGGGCGTAGTTTTGCCCTTTGCACATGGTACGCAACACGAGGGAGAAACAAAGACTCTTACCCCCGCCGTTCTTGTAGCAGAGATAGGGGAACCGCCACACGTTCCCGAGTCCAACGGAATATCCGAGGAGGGAGAGTAGGAAATCGAACTTCCCCGTCCAGTTCCCTCGATCGGGCTCTTCCAAGAATGGACTCTCCCCCATTTGAGGAGCCAGGGGAGCTTGAGACATCGCCACTGAACATTCCTATTTTAAAATATTACAATGCCATAAGGACGTATGAAAGACAAACAAATATAATTTTCGTTCGCTATACCAGAAGAAAATAGACAATATTTTCTTTTCTTCGACGTTCAGATGAAGTTTCATAGGGGGGAGTTTAATCCATATTATGTCTAGATAGTGTAGCATAGGTGCATGCGTACGAGTACACTCGAGGCCATTACCATGGAGACCGCGAGTAGAATGCCTAGGACAACGTGACCACCCCATTGACTAATACACTCCCGCCACGTCGAGTCACGGGACCAATAATCATTTTTTATTCATAAAAGAATAAGGCTAGGCAGACAAAAATGAATGCAAAAAGGTTTCTATAAAAGTCTGCATGTAACTTTTTATATGTATCATATTCATCATATTTATCAAATTTTTCTGCATTACTGCGTATTATAATATTATTCATATTCATCAGTATTTTCTGTCATCCCTGGATGAGTTCAAATCATAACATGGTCACTTCGTCCGTACATGAAAATGAAGTCGAACAGCGACATACTCCCTGAAATTCCAGCTGTGCCCGAACGGCCGAAAATGCTCAGGCATTTTGGGCGAGAATTTCTGAGAAGCGAATGAATGCGATGACTCACATCCCAGTTGACTTCGGTGTAAGGACGAAGGGTGACGGAACCGAAAGAGCTCGTACTGTCATCTCTCCTCATCCCCTGTTCCACTTCCAGGTAATTCACCTTGTACTTGTTCGACATGGTTTCAAATATGTTCAAGAAGCCGACTAGACTGAAGAAGATGAACGAAGCGAGTTACGAAGACAGGAAGAGGCAAGGAGCAGCGGCCTCTCCCTGGAAATGGCAAAGACTGAATCGTACGCATGTGTGGCTTTCCCTTTATTCACACTCCCGAGCCAATGAATCACGTGCCTACAACTCCGTCTATATTCGTGCCTACTTCATTCACCTCCTCTTCCCTCCATCCATCCTCGCCAACTTTCAGTTCCACCCTCATCTTCTTGGGTCCCAATCAGAGATGATGAACCGTGGCCGAATGTGCGTCATTTCCGGGTCTTCAGGTAGGGGAAGAGGTAGACGAAGCCAGCGGTTTTGCGCGGGACTTTCCTGGATTCGGCGCAAAACCCTCCCAATCGATATATTGGAAGGAATTCAACACGGAGAAACTCCGGCGCAGTCTTTCGTAGATTCGTTTGGCATGCTCATGGATCGCATAATGAACGCCGCTATCTGCAAGCCGGCGAGGCGCATGGATCATTTCCAAAGATCAAATGGCAAGCTCTGTCCCGTGCCATAATGCTTCTTTCTTCGTCTCAAAATGATTCATTTTCATTCGTTTTCCATCATCCTCATCATGCAATAGTGGCAAAACAGAGCAGAAATGTCATATTGAGAAACGCATCGAAGCTCAAGTCTGATAGTGGAGATTAAGGTAAGTACGTAAAGTAAAACCATCTATAATTAGACAGACACAAAACGAAGCATTCACGAGGTCAGCCTCTGAAACGGTTCTCCCTAGGTCGAGATGAACATTTTACTGAGAGAGAGACATGCAGTCGTCACGATCGTAGGGAAAGTAGGGGGGGGTAAAGAGTACGGCTACATGGAATGCGCATGTTATGAGCGTATCAGCGCCTTACTTCCGATGTCTCCGAACTTAAAGTGTTCCAACCAAATTTTTTCTCCATCTCAGTTCGGACATCCACTAAGTATGCGCTACTGGAAACTATTACGTTTGGACGGACAACTTTATTAGGATCATGCCTTCGCATATCGTGATCGCAGACACCGAAATTGAAGCATCCACCTGGTACCGTTTCGGCAGGAAGAGGGAATTACAAGGGTCGGACGGCTTAACTGTCCGAACATACAGTAGATGATTTTACCCTTCGTGAAGGTGTGACTGACAAGTTCTCACACCGCAATCCTCACATCTCCCAGAGTATCTAAATCTTTCGGTCTCCTGGATATCTTACATTCTCCAGGGAAGTGTATGTCCTCTCGTACCAAAAACTGAATGAAAAAATGAAGTAATATCCGGCTGTAGGAGGACTCGGGGACAGGGTCTGATTCAAGCAATTATGATTTCGGGGAGTTGGCAGAGCCAAGGTGGGAAGACAGGCGAACGGAAAAGCAGGGTAGTATCAATCTGTCTCGGAGACAGTTCTCTTTTATTATGCAGTAACGAAGGGCTCCGAGTCGCGAAGTTGACACGGCAAGCAGAAGGGTGAGCAAGCAGCTCTTTTGATCGCCCTCGGAATGGGAATATCTCTAGAAGAACGACTTCCCGCATTACTCTAGCAGATGAAAAATAGCTCGAAATCAGAGTCGAAGTGCACTCGTTTCGGTTGCGAAGCTCGAATTCTCATTAATGGAGATATTTCTAACCCCTTCAGCCCCAGATCGTAAATTTAAAAGGCACACGCGAGGAACAAACAAAAGGATGACAAAGGATGTAGGTTTATACCCTTTCTCGATTGCAAGATTTACAGTGTGAGGGGCTGAGAATTAAATCGAGAGAAAGAAGTGTGTCCTTGATGGGGCAGAGGGTTCTCGCTATAAACTGGACAAGAAATGTGAAATGGAATGCGTGAGGATGAACCTCCCTCACACTCATCACTTCTTTAAAAGCGGTGTCAAGTCCAGTTAGAAAATTATTTAAATGGCCCGAGAGGTCAATCATGCTCTTGGTGCGCTGTTGCTCTCCGCCATCTTGAATTTGCCGATTCAAACCGGTCAGACGAGTCTGTTTGCTAGATTGTAAGCGTTACACGTAATTGCTGAATATGCTACATCAGACCATCTTACTTCTGAACTCAAGATAAGAATATGCAGGGTGGTGCAAAATTAGGTATACAGTTAGCTGTTTATTTATTTACAAGATATTTAGAAGCAATTCTGGGAGATGTTCAAACTGGTGGCCGTCACAGTTGACACGTTTCTGGAAACGGTCCTTGACACTTCTGCACACTTTCTAACACAGTTCCTTATTTTCATTAATCTCATTGAATGCATCTGAGTCATCAAACAGCTAACTCTATACCTACTTTTGCACCACCCTGTACACTACATGGATATGTATCGAACCAATGTATTGAGTTTGAAGGGAGGCTTCAGGCTGCCCTCAATTTTGTTTTTTTCCCATTCGTTTAATTCTTTCTCTGTTTCCTTTTCATAATGTAAGGGTGTCAAAAATGACATGCGATCGCCTGGAGGGACCCAGCTCAAAAAGAATCTTCATCCGGCGAAAATCAAAATTCCTTGTCACTGATTGTCATCCTGGAAGGGGGGGGGGGGGAAGAGGAACTGTGATAACATATAGAGGGATGGAAATGCTGCCTTGGCGGCACCTTTCCATCTCATGTTTTTTGGGGTCAACAGGCTTCCTCTGCATACAAGGTCCTTACATTTACTTTGCCTTAGGTACACTTCATTCTTCTATCAAGTTTTCTAAGATAGTCGATACGATTTCTATTCAGTACTTCTAGAGATTTGAAGGTACTCGAAACCAGTATGATACATGTCTCACACGGGAGCCTCGATTGAGGTATAAAATGTACCAAATATGAATAGAATGAGTGAACGTGGATGAGCAATGTGAGAGTGAGAATTTTTATGGGGCAGATGGGTAAAGGCTGCCTCCCGACCCACAACGCATCGAAAGTTCACCTCCCTCTCCAGTGACTATCAAGTCTTCAGTAGTTATGCAAATATATATGTAGAAATGAAAATGAAGATAAAAGTATTTCCAAGATGTCCCACTCGGCCTGGCACTCTGATGCTCATCACGATCTAAACTTGTGATGTATGACTAAATTTGAACGACCAGTGAAAATTCGAACTCTCTCCTTCCTCTTCCTCAATCCACGATGAATAATGAATTCTTGCAGAAGTGATCACTGCCCTCCCGTCTCAAATTTTCCACTATTATGTTTTACTTCTGCGGTGAAAGGAAGGTCTGGGAGAATTGGAAATCCTGTAAACGATTTTCCACACTTCAGAATGGATGAACCGAAATAAGAAACGGAACTTTGTCGGAACTTTGGATCCGGGCCGATGAGATCTGACTTGCATAGATTTGATCACTTGCATGTCCTTCGTGTCGAGCTTTCTTGAATTCCTAGTGATTTCGACCCGGTGGTGCTCGGTGAGACGAATCTAATGAGATCCGCAGCACTCCGCCTATCCTATCTTCAGCGGAGGAAAAAGGGAAATCTCCCTCGCGGATGCCGGAAACGGAATGACCCAGAAAGATGCTCTTCGCAGGTCATAATGCCTAACTGGACCGTGTCGATCGCCCGAAGTATCAGCTCTAGAGGTGTTTTAGAATGTGAGGATCTGAAGGCATTCGGCTAGGGGTCTGGTCGAAGTTGATGCATATACTTCGCCGATAAATAATGCATCCATGCAAAATACCTCCCAAACAGACTAGAACAATTTTCAGGACAATGGTATCCATGGGGGCTAAGTGTGCCTGCTCCCCCCTTCTCCCATACCCCATTCCTACCCCCCCCCCCCCCCCCCCNCCCCCCCCCCCCCCCCCCCCCCCCCCGCCCCTCTCTCCTCCCCGCCCCCATGTTCCCAATGTTCGTTTTTGCTGGAATGCATGAACGAACACACATTTCAAAGACACCTGCTCAGAGGGTTTTTCGAGGGCTCCGAAATACGTGGAATATAAAAATTTACATACCAATGCATGTACTAGGAAAAGATATCGGACTAGAATTCATCTGAAACATTAGTATCGTATTCAGCCGATGGTATGTAACAGGAGTAGGGGCGTAGTTTTGCCCTTTGCACATGGTACGCAACACGAGGGAGAAACAAAGACTCTTACCCCCGCCGTTCTTGCAGCAGAGATAGGGGAACCGCCACACGTTCCCGAGTCCAACGGAATATCCGAGGAGGGAGAGGAGGAAATCGAACTTCCCCGTCCAGTTCCCTCGATCGGGCTCTTCC